TCTCTGCCCATTTAAAAAGCTTGGTATATCAACCACACATGGAGAAAATAAATTTTAAAGTCATAATTTAATTTTAAGATATTATTTCCATATAAATAAAAGCAGTAGAGTGGGGGGGGGAAATGAGGACAAATGCCCATCCCATAACTGACTCTGAGAAAATACAATCCATTAAATGTGTGCTGTAAAACTTGAAAGTGAAATAATTGATGAAAAAAATTGCCCATAGTTAGGTCATGTAAATGAACAGTAATTCTTGAATGGGATCTGTTAAACCCATATCCAGCTCAGCAAAAATAATTTCCATAGTTTCCTTAGATCTTGTGTACTTTGACTTTTAAAGGTACAAAAATATTGAAGGGATATATCATCAAATAAAAGAATAGTAAAAAGAATAAAATAAATAGACTGAGAAACATTATGTTACATCTGCTCTGCTTACAGCTTGCAAAATATCCAGGGAAGCTTAATAAGGAAAATACAGACTTTGGGAAACACAAATGATCATGAAACCATTAAAAACTTCTCTGGACTGGAAAAGGAAATTTAAAAAAAAAAAAAAGAATCAAAGAGAAAGGGCAATTAAAAAAAAAATAAGAAAAGAAAGAAAAAATAGGGAGAGAAAAATGAAACTAACCTTGCTCACAGTCAAAATGTCATTCAGCATTCTTGCTTTCATTTCTAAAAAGTATCTGTATTAAACCCATTTTTATTAAAAGTGGGGTTTGCTACCCAGCTTGACATTACCTTCTGAATACATATATATATGTACAGACATACAATCAATTTTTGACTCATGATCAGAATAATTCATTTCAAATCTTCATTCTTTTAAATCCAAGACTTGCTTGGAGTTTCTATACAAGTTTAGGAATATCAAGACCTTGAACTTCACTGCAGATATTCCCAGTGTTTCAAGAACAAATTCTTAGATATAATACTCAAACATCGTGTGCCTATTATATCATACTTTCCAGAGTTTTGCTGATGAAAATAAGAAACTTTATGGAAAATTAGATTTGTAACATATCTGCATTTATACACTTAGATAAGTATATACAGGAGGTGTGTGTCCAAACACACACTCATCTATGCATTACACTTATGTGTGTTATATGTATATGTATATGTATTTACCAAAGTCTTCAAAATTGATTCCTCAATTAGACAGAGGGCTTTAAGCAGTTCATGCATAAGTAATATAATTATCAGTAAACTTTATTTCCACCACTCTCCAGCTTTCCTAGTTTCACTGGGATGCAAATTCACCATTATACAAAAATTTTACTAATCCAAATTGAAAAAATAATCCACCCACAGAAAATTGTGACTTTTCTTTTACCTTTTATTAGAAAATTTGCACTCACTTTAAATTCTCAGCTAAGAGAGCTCCCAATTGAAACTATTTGTGTAGATCCTTGCTACTTCAAATAAACAGATCATAAACTGATCTTAGTTATAGCTTCCCCAGTGTTTCTTCATCTTCTTGTATCTGCACATCAACAAACTAGACAATAGGATACCAAAAATACCACTTTGGGAGGCTAGAAGTCAGAGATAAAATTTGCAGTTTTTTCACTCTGTTTTCATATGAGTCTCTCACATTTTAAGTACCGGTGATATTTGCTGTTTTTTGCATAAAAACATTTCTTCTTCTTCTAGTGTACCTTAAAAGTCAATGTGAGGGTTTCTGTTGTCTTCATCAAGGTAAGGATGAGACCCTATACAGCCCAAAAGAAAAATATTGTTCTTGATGAGCCACAGTTGGTGTACAGGCACTACCTTTCTAAGTTTTACTCTTTTGCCACCTCCTTCCCTCTGAGGCTAGAGAAATGCTATAAAGTGTTTCTTCTCCACAACCTCTGTCTTAAATAGTGGGGAAAGAAATGAGAATGAAACTGAAGTAGCTGGCTCTATAGCCCCTATTTCTGCCACCTAGCAGTACTATAAACACTCCTTTTTGCAGCAGAGAAAACCTGTGTGCAGTCTACATTACAACAGTGATAGAAACAAAGAAATTGGGCTGACTCAAATTTCAACAGAGTGAAAGAATCCTAACATACATTTGATTACAACAATGTTTAATATCTGCTGTCTTCTCTAATCTTTACTAAGTGCATTGCTATCGCCTGGAAATGCAAAACTTACAACCAAAGTAAGCATTTCTTTGCAAAATATTTTGATTAGGTTAGAACTGGTGAGACTCTCCTACATGCTGGGAGTATCTTCACACCTAATGAGTGTTTTGATTTACAGAAATTTTAAGTCAGTGGTTTTAAGAGAAATCATAACAGTAAGTTTTAAAAAACCTCTTCTCTACATTGTTTTCATTGGTAAGTTAGAGCTGGTACAGAATATGAAATGAAATGCTATTGCAACCAATGTCAAAAGTTTACCATTTTGGATTTCATACACTAAATGTCATTCAAGAGTGTATTCCAGTGTGATACGTAATTGGTAGCCTTTTTCACACTTGGAATTTTCCTACTTTGTTGCCAAGCAGCCGAATATTAATAAATAACACCATTTAATGAGAGAAAAAAATTCCAACACAACACACTTAACTCATTGCCTTTATCCACTATATCATAGTAAAAGTGAACTCTGATGCCAAAGGGAAGTTAGGCCTTTAAACTGCAAGTCTAAATTGCAGCTAACATGCTGAAGCAAGGATGTCACAGTTACACATAATTACCATTTCTACAGGAGTCTGTTTCCTGTGGTGACAGTAGCATATTTAAAAGATAGCATTTTCAGTCTTTGATGTCACTTTTCTCATACAAAACTGTTTTTTCACCAAGAGCCCTATTCAGTAGTCCAGCCTTATCCAGTAAAGCACTTAAGGATATGTCTAGATCCCATTTAACTTAGGCACATGATTAGGATTTTTTTTTTTTTTCTGAAAACGGATTGAACTCAAGTATGTGTTTCAAATGCTTTGTCATATGGGAACCTAAAATAGAAGCCTAACTCCTAACTGCAATACTAATACTCCTGACTACCTAGGAATTTTAGTCACAACAAATTTTATCGTGTTTTACAGGTTTATTTTTCCAAATAATATTTTAGTATTATCTTGTCTTATCACACAGCATATGCTGTAAGCTTATTAGAAGCCAACAAAAAGTTTGAAAAAAATTAAGCTTAATCATATTTGAATCTTTAATACTCTACCAGTGCTCCTCATGGCTTAAAGACCATAAGCTTTAAATACCACAGGAGCTTTTTTTTTTCCCCACATTTGAAATAAGAATGCTTAGAAAGGTATCTGCTTATAGAATAGGTTGTAAAATGGAAATTTTACAGGAGGAAAACCCTTCCTATGTCTCCTGCATTTCTATCTCCATTTTTAGCTTTTTCTTATTCATACTGGAATAAAAAAGGTGTTTTCCTAGATAAATATTACAGAACAAAGAATACAGTGTGACTTCCTTTGTTATACTACCAAATATCTTCCCATCAACCTAGCTATAAATAGCTCCCTGATTATATAGCAACTGAAACTGTCACCTGTTCCCCTTGTACAAAGTACCTCCATGCTACTCAAACCCTGAAGAAACCCTTTTTTGCAATGCTACCATTGAAGACATCCTTTAAAGAAATACTGTCTAATTCTTCAGTGTTGCTTGTTGGGCTTTTTTTATTAACATCCTCAATACAAAAGTTTGTGGCAATTTTAATATTTTTACTCTAAGGGGAACACACTGGGAAGGTTGTGTCATCGTCTTTCTAACAGAAAACTGGGTGCAGTTTCCCTGGGGGCCCTTCAGTGATTTCCATGCGTAGGGGAGATCATAGTGGCTGTTGAAGTACATGTAATGCACTGGCTCTTCTTCATAAGCTCATTACATTTTCTCTCTTAGGATAATTTCTTACAGCTACAGCACAGAAATGAAAATTTAGAAATGTTTTTTTCCATTTCTCACTGGGCCTCAGACTTCCTGTGTGGATCTTGAACAAATTGTTTTACTTACTCTACCTCTGCTTTTCACATCTGAGAAGTAGAGATAAAAGCAAAAGGAGCACTCCAAGGCTTAATTCATTAAAATTGGCAAAGAACTTTCAGGTCAATGAATGGAGGCTGCAACAGATTAACATATTAAAAGTTTTAATAATTTATTTGTGATCTACTTCAAGTGATGCAATGCGCCTCTAGAAGCAACAGGAAAATTTAACACTGTGTCACTGGTACATATGTCCAGTTTTGCAGACCAGTAACTGTAAATGAAAGATATTGATGTGTTTCTTCTGTTTGGGCTGTGTCACAGGGTACTAACGCACAGCTCAGGAATAACCTTCTTTCAACAGAAAGTTAAAATAAAGCTAGATATAATATAAATACACACTTCATGTTTATAAACACACACACAGTACATATACAGAAATTTTGTACATTAAGATGCTATTCCAAAGAAAAACATATTTCCTTTATTGTGTTATAAGGCTATAATTTCTCAAGCTCAGTGATAAATGCTGTAGAAATGGTAAAAAATGCCTGTAATTAACAAATATGTGATTTTATGTAAGATCCTTTGTTTAATATATGTCTTTATATTAATAGACTGTGATTAAAAGAAAATGAAACAGCAGAAGAAGAGAAGACATATTTTTACTTTTAAAATAATAAAATCTTCTTTATTCCAACAGCATTTTTCCTCTGGATTTTTCCCTTTTAAAAATAAAAATTCCATTTTCCTGTCTGAATTCAAAATGATTGACTGGAGCACAATATTAAGTAATAAATAAAACAGTCCCAGTGGCTGAAAGACTCTTGAATAAAGAGAAAATTATTTTTGGATTTTCCTTCTGATCAGATATGAAATATTCTGAAACGCCACCTCTATAATTTGATAAAAAGCTTGATATCCCCAAATGAAAATAGGATTCAGCACTTTCATTTTTCTGTCTCTAAAGGAACCTCTAGGTAAACTGATTTTAAAAAAATGAAAATCTCAAGCATAAAGGTGGGAGTAATGAAGCAAGTTTAAATATGCGCTGACCTTTGAAATGAACTGCATTCCATGTTGTTTGGCCAAGAAGCTGGCTGTGCTGCTGTCTCCATCAATTTCCACAGCATAAAAGATGTGGGTTTTGGAGCTGCCCTGCTCTCTGGTGGATGTTGATAGGCATCGCCGCAAATACACCAGTGCTGATAGTAACAGCCATATGTTCATTGCTCTGAAATATTAAAAAGAAATCCACAAGGCATAAAAGTGTAAGCATCTTCTTTTGTTGTTGTTGTTCACAATAAGGATTTACCCAGAGGTGGTTGTATTTTCTTATCCTCTTCTTTGGATAAAATAAAAAAAAGATTTTATTTTTTTTTAAATTTAGTTTCAATATTAAACTAAAAATATAAAAGCAAAACAAAACATTATTTTGGGAATCTAAGAGGCTTACGCTGTTCAACAGTATCTAAAAGAAAAGTTATATTGTGCCATATGATTTTATTTGTACAAATTCAAAAATTAAAAAATAAACTACTTTGCAGCTTTACTTACATTATAATTTTCTTTTTCCATTCCTGTTTTATTATACAAGTTTGACTAGTTTTATCCAGTGGTTTGCCAATCTCAAGCTGTTCACTAGACCTGAAGGTCAAATGGCATTCTCTGAAAAATTTCAGTGTTTGATATCAAAATGGAAGATGACCACTTGAATGCACAGCAATTTTAATAACAATTACTACTCTAAATATATGAATATCTGGTCTAAGTCCTTTTTGTAATATATTCTATGAAATACCACTTTAAAATGGAATCTTATGATATGATCATAAATTGCCTAGAAAAACGAATTATAAAAAAGATGACAAAGTCAAGATAATGCATATGAGAAATACTACAGGTATCTTAGTTAGGCAATACTAATATCTGGTTGAAAGTTTATTCTGTTCATGCTAACTCTCAGGCACTAGATCCTGGCTTTAAAAATATGGCAGTAGCAAATAACAAAATCATCCTGAGTAATAAGATGGTGTTGCATCTGTGACGAAACAAGAAGGATATCTTTTAAGTAGATGTGATACTAGGCAAAAAAAGTGGTAGAGATCAAATTAACTCCTCCACCCACATTCCCTTTTGTTTAGTCATCTGCTAAGACCTGTACAACATCAGAATTCACACATTAATTTTGAAATGTACAGGACAACATAGTTTTGCATGTTATGGGTGGCCATGTTCATTTATATTCTTGTAGTGTTTGCAGCACTTATAATTCTAATAGTCTTTCAAAACACTAGTTAGATATAAATTAAATTTGAATATATATACTTCTGTCTTTCCTCAGCCATATCTTTCAGTTGCTTCTTGAAAGCCCAAGAATTAGGACAAAGCAGCCTGACTGAATTCCACTCCACACCCAATAGCAGCTCTTTTTAACATTATGTGCAAATTAAGGTGCAACAGATAAAAACAACTAATCTCATATTTTGCAGTCTTCAATAATACAAACTTATAATCTTTATTAAACACGTCCATACTTAAAACAATATACTTAAGGTATCTCCACAGTTAGATCTAAAAATCAGATTCTGAATGAGATCCTACTAGCTAGATACTTCTGAAAAGGTCTAGTAGAGCCTATCACATGGAACCCCTAATAATTACATTAAAGTGTTTCTGGATGCTGATTACTATCTAAAGCACAGACAAAGCCTTACAAGGCATTTTTATAGGCAGACATAAGCAATCTATATTTCTTAAGTCCCTCCTCAAATCTTAATTATGCAGTATGGGCACAAGCAATTTTCCACATGGTGTTTTTTGGAACTAAGGATTGAGATGATGGGAGCTGCAATTTATTTTAGTTGTCTAGCTAAGCAATCAGATTATAGCTCTATGAAAAGAACTCCAGTAATCAGTGGAAAGGAAGCCATGAAGATTACTAAAGATTAAATTCAGTTCCCACCTGTAAAAAGATGAAAATTTCATCAAAATTTCATCAAGTGTTGTCCAGGACAATGCATGAGGTTGGAGGGTATTTGGCTTGGTATTTCTCCTGCTAATGCCAGTCTACTTTGTATGGGCTATTTACTTAATGGTGATTGAATCAGAACAAAACAAAACAAAAGAGACATTATTGTTCAACCTACTCTAAGCATGATTCAGACTGTATTTCAACTGAAGTCTTTTCCTACCAATTCTAACGCAGTCTAAAGCCATTTTGATCTCTACAGCCAGGTAAGGGCAATGTAGTTGGCCTGTATTTAAGGTAAGTCAAAGGCTGAGGAGGATATAGAGGAATTGGGGCTGCAGAGACAATTAAGAATAGAACCCAACAAATTAATGATGTATATCCACCCTGCATAATTCTTGCAGTATAAAACATTTCCAGAACAAAAGATCAAAATCAGTCTACCTAGAACAACCTAGATTAGCAGAGCTTTGTCTTAGAAAAAAGGAAAATACAGGTTCATTCCCCTGCAGAGAGATGTAATGGTAGAACCCCCATATCCCAGGAAGGGACTGACAACACTGAGGTATTGGTAAAAGTGTTTTGGAGATATTTCTCTCCTCTGATACTATATTCATCAACATTCTCTTTGCTGTTTTTCAAGTCAAACTATTTTGCTAGTACTAAATTAGAGATCTGCAGAATTTACTCGTTTTTTCAAGATGAAAATTTCCATAAAAATACTAATTCAGTAGATTCTTGCTTTCCAAAAAAGTATTAATCTGTCCCAGAAAGGAGAGTTGGTAAACCCACTCAACTTCAAAGGAAAACTCAGCAATTCAGGGAATATTTCATAGGTATTTCATACAAGTAATAATCTGACAACTTCAAATGACACTGAAGCAAACTATAACAAGTGTAGTTTCACCTACACCAATTATTTGCTCAAGAAAATAAAAAAAAAAAGAAAGTGTGTGGGGGAAAAAAATATTATTTGAACTTTAAAAGAATTCGGTCTACTTCCTTCACAGAAACTTTTGGGACTCGATCATAATCACAGAATCACTGCATATTCTGAGTAGGATGGGACCTACAAAGATCATCAAGTCCAACTCTTAAATGAATGGCCCATATGGGGATTGAACCCACAACCTTGGCACTATTAGCATCATGCACTGACCAACTGAACTAATGTCAGTGTGATATGAAAATTTACCCAAACCAAACTGGCCACAAGACAATAAGGTTTTGAAAACTGTAATCACAACAAGGGCAGGAGAGACCTGTAATAGATGAAAACTGAAATTGTGAACAATCCCACCTGCACAAAGTAATCACCATCCCAAGATTTCTCCTATATTGTCCCCAAAAATGCACCTTTTTTTGCTATATTCCAATCCATATGTTGGGACAAAGAGATTGTCTTCCCTATACTCTCCAAAGCCAGTACTAACAGAGGGTAAATTGCAGAAGGATATGTGTGTCAGTAGAATGAAAGAAAGATCAGAAAGGACATAAGTAAAATTCCTGATTTATGTTAGAGGCCCTGGATTGACTGATTAGGATGACTAGGACTGAGAGCTAAGCACCAGAGCAATGGGACTATTGCTTGAAAGCAAAAGAAGGTACAGAAGAATTACCATGCCATGAACTGAGTGAGAGACTGAAATAAAGAAATTATTTGCATAGGTGGACTGGGTGGGACCTCAGCTGATAAAAAGTCAGTTGGTTCAAGCGACTCGAAGCACAACTGGTTAAACAGAACAAAAAAAAAGAAATATCAGGAATGATAGTGAGTCCATTAGATTACTTGGGAAGGGACAGATCAGATCAGAGAAAACTGAACAAATGCAGGAAATGTGCAATCAAGATTATTGAGGTAAAAAAAAAGGGGGGGAAAGAAGGAAGGAAGAGAAAGAACAAACTATAAGTAAAACTCAACTAGGCTGTAAAGAACCAAACAGGAGACTCCATAACCTTCAAACTAGCTGTTCTCTACAGCCTGGAACCAGATCCTTAGTTCTCAATCTCACCATTCTACTGAAACTGGAAAACACAAAGGAACCAAATGTCTTAATTCCACCTGCTGGGCCACAGTTAAAGCTTCGTTCTTGGAAGACTGTAAATTTGTTTCTTCAAAGAGCAGCACTGTCTTCTTTGGACATAACCTATGCCAACTCTATTCCATGAGGAAATTAGCAAGCTGCCACAGGATAGCATTTCCACTCAAATCACCCTGTTAAAAAAACTCCCACCATGAATTAATCATATACAGAAAACATCACATTAATAAAATTTTCTTGAATCCAACATTAAAAAAATGCCAAATTGAGACTACTTGTCTAAACTGTAAATAGAGGGTAAGATGTATTTTTAAAGGCTAGGAAGAAGGATGGTAAAAGTCCTGGAAGTAGTCAGGATTCATTCAGGATTTATAATAATAAACTCATCCATGGCTGATTGTATACAACACATTTTCTTCAGCATCTGCCTTTATTCAAGTTTCACAGTAAATATGATATATTCTAAAGTGGGCTCTTGAGGGCTAGTAAATAGTGACATCCATTATTAATGTTGTACAGGGTGAGAGATCCTGTACAGGTCAGTGCTTCAACCTGCCTTAATCCTCTGTTTCTTCAAGAATGGATTTTTAAGAAAATGCTTTGGTTTCACCAGCAAAGATTAAACTTCACTTATATACACTGGAAAACAATTTAATTTCACTAACCTATCAAGAAAAAAGATTCATATTTTTAATAAATTCTACTGGAGGGAGGGCAAATCCATCGATTTAAGTTTTTTCTTTTGATGTTACAAATACTGTAGTATAGTGCAACTGAAATTTCACAAAATGAATGAAAACCTTATAATTTTTTAACTGCATATATGCAAGAACAGAATAGGTTAATTTTTAATAGCATAATATATTTAAGAGCAAATAATATCAGTTAAACAGAAAATATCATTTAAACACACAATTTGTGTTCTGTTAACAGAATCTAATTACAAAAAAATAAAAAATAATTTAAAAATCCAACTCTACTGTTACTTTGGGTCTAGGTTAGGAATATGACACACTATCATATAATAAAAATGACACACAGTTTCTGTATTAAACAAAAGGGTAGATAGAGGACTGATACTGGATTTGTAACAAGTCTTTACTTAGTAGACCAGCTAGGACCAATGCTTTGGCAGTAGTGTTTCTATCACTAAGTACTTGTCACAACAAAAAGCATTTTAAAACAGTGCTGAATCTTTTCTACAGGGTCAGTAGCAGATGA